TAATAAACTAAAAATAATAAACTAAAAATAATAAACTAAAAATAATAAACTAAAAATAATAAACTAAAAATAATAAACTAAAAATAATAAACTAAAAATAATAAACTAAAATAAAACAAAGTAAAAACAAAGTAAAAACAGAATAAAAATAAAATGAAAAATAAAAAAAATAAAAAAAATAAAGAATGCTTGACAACTGGTGCTGCACTGCTAGCTTTCTATTGGAGCCTTGCAAGAAGAAAGGCTATTCCAACCAGTTTTTTTACGAATCAAACCAACGCAAACTAGAGAAATACCGCCGCCACCACCCCTGCCTCGGGTTTTGCGATGGTATGATCCACCCTGTTCTACAACCTCCCACGTCACAATTCCAGAGGGGAGGGAGGCAGGAGGAGGAGGAGGAGGAGGAAGGGAAAGCGGCCGCGGAATGACGGCCTCCGGCTTCTCAAGCCCCGAAAGGCGTGACGGGTAATCCAAGATGGCGGACGAGTCTTGGCCCGAGTTGGGCCGGCTGGAAGGAAGTGTGAGTGCCCCGCGGCGAGGCGGCCTACTCCAGTGTGGAAGACCAGTGGAGACCGTCGTGTGAGGTGAGGAGGCGAGAAGGTCGCCTCGAGGGAAGCGTGGCTGGAACTGAGTTGCGAGGGTTGTTGCCTGGAAAGCCGGGACCGGAAGTACTCTCTCCCTCCCAGCCCCTCATTCCCGCCCTCGGAAACCCCTTCGAGGTCTTGTTTGCTAGAGCGGCCCCGCACGTGCCTTTATGTAGGAAAGGACACTCGAGCATGCGCATAAGCATGTAGTCATAGCAACCAGCCTTCATTTATTTAAAATGTGTTTAAAATAAATATATATTTGTTTCCCTTTTGGACAGATCTACGGATTTGAACATCAAAATCGCCGGTATTTCCGCCCTTGCCTTTAGCCAGCAGCCATATTGGTGGTTATTTTCCTTTTTTTTTAGGCAGACACGAGTGTATAAGATAAACACCCACATTTGCACACGTGCATTTTAACCAGCTTATTATTTTTATTTCCCTTTTTATTTAGCTAGGCAAACGAGTTTGTATGTCGTTCTCTCTCATCAGCCCAACTTATCTCATAGGGTTGTTGTGGGGAGAATAGGAGGAAGGAGGATTAGGTTAGGGTTGCCATCCTGAGGTACTTATAAAATTCAAAAACGTGGGATGAAAATCTAATAAATAAATTTATAAAATACTAGATTGGGAAGACCATTGGCATCCCAAATGTTTGGTGTCCTTCATGGCCAAAAAAAGCCAACCCCATAGAAAAATAGTTTATATAGGATTCAGTTCTCAGCACTGTCAAACTATGTATTAAGTATGCTTACTATTGCTATTAATCTTCTCATCGTCCCTATCCCCCATCTCCTCCCACTTATGACTGTATGACTGTAACTTTGTTGCTTGTATCCTTACGATATATATATTGATCGTTTCCTAATACAATTTGATTGCTTATTTGCACCCTATGACTATCATTAAGGGTTGTACAGTATGATTCTTGATGAATGTATCTTTCCTTTTAGGTACAATGAGAGCAAATGCACCAAAGATAAATTCCTTGTGTGTCCAATCACACTTGGCCAATAAAGAATTCTATTCTAGTTTAAACTCTTAACTCCTATTCTATTTCTATTCCTAATTATAATCCTAGTTCTATTCTATTTCTAATTCTGTTCTGTTCTATTCTATTCTGTTGTAACCGCAGCAACAGAAAGCAATTTTCTGCTCTTAATTTTTGCTTTTATACACTTTTTATTAAAAAAAAAAGATAATTAGTGCTTTGAGGGATTCCCCCCCGCCCCCCATTCCTTTTCATTGCATAGATTTATAGGAAATAGTTGAGTGTCATACAGGTGATCCTTGACTTAAAACCATTTGTTTAATGTCCATTTGAAGTTACAACAGCACTGAAAAAAGGTAATTCATGATCGGTTTCCACGCTTATGACCATTGCATCCTCCTCCTGGTGACCTGTTCAAAATGCAAATACTTGGCAACTGGCATGTACTTGCGACGGTTGCAATGTCCCAGGTTCATGTGATCACCATTAGTAACCTTCCCAGCCAGATTCCGACAAGCAGAGTCAATGAGGGAAGCCAGGTTTGCTTCAGGACCACATGATTCTCTTAACAACTCCAGTGATTCACTTAACATACGGTTAAAAAAAAAGGTGGTAAAGTTGGGCAAAATTCACTTAAAACAACTGCCTTGCTTGGCAACGTAAATGTGGGGCTCAAATCTTATATCAAGGACTACCTGTACGAAGTGTTGTGTTGCAGTTTGTCGCAGATTGATTTTAATATTGCGGTGTTGCTTAGTCTTTCAGCTGCTCCTGTTTTAGACAAGACTTTGGATATTTGTAGGGCGCCATGGAGAAAATGGCCAGGGTGACCACCGCTCTTGGTGGCAACACGATCACGGGACGGACCATGTGCTGCCACCTGGACGCCCCTTCTAATGCCATCAGTGTGTGCCGGGACGCTGCTCAGGTGGTGGTGGCCGGGCGCAACATTTTCAAGATCTACTCCATCGAAGAGGAGCAGTTTGTGGAAAAACTCAACCTGCGTGTCGGCCGCAAGCCCTCTCTGAACTTCAGCTGTGCTGACGTGGTGTGGCACCAGATGGACGAGAATTTGCTGGCCACAGCTGCCACGAACGGAGTGGTGGTCACGTGGAACCTGGGCAAGCCCTCTCGGAACAAACAGGACCAGCTTTTCATGGAGCACAAGCGAACCGTGAACAAGGTGTGCTTTCACCCTACGGAGGTCTATATGCTCCTTAGCGGGTCTCAGGATGGCTACATGAAGTGCTTCGACCTACGGAAAAAGGACTCAGTCAGCACTTTCTCAGGTAAGGATCCATATTTGGGAATCGCTGACTTCCTCATGAGTAGATTAGGATAAGGTGGAATTATCCTACGCTACTGAGGAGGATAGTAATGGAACAGCGCGGTGGTCTAAAGGAGGACTTCTCGCCTTGCAATCAGGAGGCAGTGGCAGATGTTTATCTCTCTGGGTGCAACGATTACCGTATTTTTNCTATTCTATATTAATTCCATATTCTATTATATTCTATTCCTATCCTATTCTATTCTGTATTAATTCCATATTCTATTCTATTCTTATTCTCTATTTCCATATTCTATTCTATTCTTATTCCTATTCCTATTCTTATTCTCTATTTCCATATTCTATTCCACTCCACTCCACATGGATGGACTTCAACTCCCAGAATTCCTTAGCCAACTCGGGTATTAAAATCCACACATCTGAAAAGTGGCTGAAGTTGAGAGAGACTCTGCTGGAGGGTTGGCTTACAGTCCTTCAATTGACAAGGCTTAGCCAGTGGTTTATTAGCTTTTTTCTGTCCTTTTTCTCCAGGTTGCTCAGACGTGGACAATGCTCCGGATTATTTATTCAAGCCCTAACACCGTCCCTGCCACGAACCTCAACCACAGCCTGGGAAAAAGTAGCTCTAGCCTTCCGCTCATGAACAGGTAAAGAGAAGGGGGGGGGCTTCATTGTGGGGAAATGTGCACTCAAGGGTGACTTGGGGCAAATCCAGGCAGACCCTGGAGCCTTGTAGCTCCCAGTTAGGGTAGGAATCTGGGAGCTCAACTCCACCCATCTCAAAGTTGTCAAGGTTGAGAAACTGCCCTAAAGACTTTCTGGAACAACAGATCCTGGGAGGTTTTGTCAAAGGCCAACAGGAAATATCACAAAATGGTAAATCCGATAATCCTGTCCCCATAAATTCAAAGCTATTGCTGATTCATCTGTATGTGTTTGTAATGATAATATCATAGAGTGGGTGAGCATGGTTCTTGGTTCCTCACTATCCTCCAGTCAGTCATGCCAGGTATTAAAGTATGGAATATCATGAGCATTCTTGGCTGCCCTATTATTTTTAATTCAAGTTGTTTTTGCTGTCTTCCTTCTATTGGCTGCCCAGAATCATGTACATAACATTGGTGGTCCTACAAAATTATTGTTATGATTCATTGCATAGTTGGCTAGATGTTCAGATATCTAGCTGACGGTGCAATCGATTTGGCCTTTTTGTTCACCTACCAAGTTGTTTCCAAGGACGTGTTGCTGTGACTACGTGAGAGTTACAGGTAGTCCTCAACTTACAACCACAATTGAGCCCAAAGTTTATATTGTTAAGTGAAAAATTTGTTAAGCGGATTTGTCCCATTTTACGACTTTTCTTGCCACATTCGTTGAGCGAATCCCTGCAGTTGTTAAATTAGTAACACAGTTGTTCAGGGAATCCGCCTTCCCCGTTGACTTTTTGCTTGTCAGATGGTCACAAAATGATTCCTGAGCACTGCAACTGTCATAAATATGAGTCAGTTGTCCAGCATCTGAATATAAATCACGTGACCACGGGAGGTGTTGCCATGATCATAAGTGTGGGGAAATGGTCATAATTTTTCAGTGCCATTGTAACTTCAACCCCCCCAGTCACTAAATGAACTGCTGTAAGTGGAGGGCTACCTATATAGGCTGCCCAACTCCCAACTAATTCTGGGCAGCTTACAAATTGTTAAAACATTAAAATTAGAAAACGACAGAAAAAAATTGCAGAGATAGGAACAAAGTAAAATAAAGAGATTAAGTTAAATAAATAAAGATAGTATCTGGATTCCAAATAGCATCCAAAATTAAATCAGAGTCCAAGGCAACGTATTGCTCAAAGTTCCAATTTATGAAGAGAGCCATGTTGGCACATCTGGGAAANGAGGATAGTAATGGAACAGCGCGGTGGTCTAAAGGAGGACTTCTCGCCTTGCAATCAGGAGGCAGTGGCAGATGTTTATCTCTCTGGGTGCAACGATTACCGTATTTTTTGGAGTATAAGACTCAGCTTTTCCCCCCCAAAAGAGGGTGAAAATCTGAGCGTGTCTTAGACACTGAATACAGCATCCAAAAACCCTGCCCCCTTTGCAAAAAATGGCTGTGCATAGCCTTTAGGAGGCTTCCAGAGGGCTTCTGGGGGCTGGGGAGGGCAAAGATGAGCAGAAAATGGGCCTTTTGCTCATTTTGGAGCCCCCTCCCCAACACCCAGGAGCACTCTACAAGCCTCCTAAAAGCTGTGCATGCCCCCCCCCTTTTTTTTTTGTGTGTGTGACAAAAACGTGCCATTTTTGGGAGGTTTGCAAAATGCAAAAACTTTTTTTTTAATTTGCCTCTTCAAAATCTTGGTGCGTTTTATACTCCAAAAAGTACAGTAATTATCTGCTGTGACCCCCACGTAGGCAGCAGGAAGGGCATCTGGCCAGTAAACTCTTGAGCTCTGATCAGTTGCCCCAACTCCACCCCGATGTAAGGTATTACAGGGCCTTTAAAAGAAATAAAAACTGAAAAGGACAGAAATGTTTTAAAGGATTTTGAAAGCAAATTCACAGATGTTCAGGTGGTATAGACATTGCAAAACCTTGATTTGTATAATCACGAGGTTGTCACAGAGAGGAGCACCTGAGGGCAGGACAAGAAGTAATGGGTGGAAGCTTGTTAAAGAGAGATCTGACCGATCTGAGGTCCCTTCCAGCCCTATGATTCTATGTTCTGCGTGTTCTTCCAACTTTTTAATAGATGCAAATGAAACATACATTAAACTCTTTCTCTAAGGTTACATCATAACATTCATTTTTTTAAAATACCGTATTTTTCGGGGTATAAGACGCATCTTTAAGAGGCTAAAAATCTGGGTGCATCTTATACACTGAATATAGCAATTTTTAGCCTCCAGAAACCTTGCCCCCTTCACCAAAATGGCCGTGCATAGCCTTTAGGAGGCTTTCAGAGTGCTCTTGGGTGCTGGGGAGGGCAGAAATGAGTGAAAAATGGGCTTTTTTTTGCTCAATTTTGCCCTCCTTCCCAACCCCCAGCAGCACTCTATAAGCCTCCTAAAGGCTATGCATGCCATTTTTTTGCTCATTTTTTGCCCCACACCCCAGGAGCACTCTCACTCTACAAGCCTCCTAAAGGCTATTCATGCCCTTTTAAAAAAAAGGAAAAAGGTCAATTTTCGTGAAAAACAGGCCATTTTTGGGAGGTCTGCAGAGTGCAAAGACTTTTTAAAATTTGCCTCTTCAAAATCTTGGTGCGTCTTACACCCCGAAAAATACGGTAGTTTATCAGTATTACTAATGATCAAATCCACATATCATAGTTTCACCATTTCCTATTTTGTGCAAAAAAACCCATTCTTTTGGAAATTAGAGAATGACCATGTCACAAGGAGGCTTCGCTTCCCATAATCCCCAGCTCCCAGGCTGGCTAGGAGATTATAAGACATTGGAGTCTTAACACATTTGGAGCAGCACCAGATGGGGGAACAGAACCTGTTTTCAGAGGGTCAAACATCACCTGGATGGTTTATCAGGTAGAAACGGGACTCTCCAAATTTTGGCAACTTTTTAAGACCTGGCATGACTGACTGGAGGATTGTGGGGGTTGAAGTCCCCAAGTCTTAAAAGTTGCCAAGTTTGAACAGCCCTGAAGATAGATCAACCCAATGTGGTCTCTGCCCCCCTTAGGTCAGTCGGAAAGCGTGCGTGACGTCCAGTTTAGTATCCGCGACTACTTCACCTTTGCTGCCACCTTTGAAAATGGGAACGTTCAACTGTGGGATATTCGCCGGCCAGACCGTTACGAGAGGATGTTCACGGCCCACAACGGACCCGTGTTCTGTTGTGATTGGCATCCAGAGGACAGGTATAAACACGTCTGTCTCTGTCTGTCTGTCTGTCTTTTCTGTATCGGATGCTTTTCTGTGCCTGCCTTGTTTTCTAGCACCTTCTGTCAGAGCCATCTAGGGTTCTGCTTTCAGCAGCTGCTGCTTCTTTTTTTTAAGTTTTTTATTTTATTTATGCAATCATATCATCTTTGCAGCACATTTTACATCTTCTACATATCCATTGTGTTTCCTTTATCAATACATATATCATATAACTATATCCATATCTATATACATATTTTGCACCTTATTTCGTACATAGTATACACATTTGATCCTCTCATATTTCTTATTTCATCTACAATCTATCTTGTATTTCCCCCCCCCCTCTTATTGATTCTGCGCTTTTTTATATTTGTTTTGTAGTTTCTTGATCTTTCTTCTTCTCTTTATTACTATCCTGTTTTTCCCCCCTCTTTCTTCTAGCCAATTATACCATAAGTCCCATGCTAAGTAGTACTCTGATTCCTCTTTGCCTTTTAGCTCTTTTGTGAGCCTGTCCAACTGAAGCCTCTTCAGTTCCCTTCCACCTTGTGCAACTTGTCTGCATAGCATTTTTGTTGGGAAGTCACGTTGCCCTTCGCATTTTAAGCATCATTTTGCCCTTTCTGACAGTTTTCAGGTAGCCCTCGTCTTAGCAACTGTTATTGGGATTAGAATTTATGCCGTAGGTTGTTGCTGGTTGGCTTAGATGTCACAATTTGTAGGCTAGCTGTTAAGCAGATCAACATGATTGTTAAATAAATCACGCAGATATCAAGCAAACCCTGGTTTGGGTGTTCAACAACCGGCTCACCATTACAACCATTTGCAGCGTCCTGCGATCACATGATCACACTTTGCAATGGTGGGGTTTTTTTGCTATGCTTTCAGAGTTTTACCTAGCTAGGGTAATGAAATGTCTGCAAGAAAACAACCAAGTTCAGTGAGTAGCAGGGACTCCACAGTCGTCGTCGTCCTCCTCCCCCTCCTCCTCCTCCTCCTCCTCCTCCTCCTCCCTGCAAACCCCATTCCCTTCTAGCACTGATGAGGTTAACTAGTTTGGGTAATGAAATGCCTGCAAGAAAACAAGCAAGCAAAGAGAGCACCAAGAACACCTCATTCCAGAGTTTGCTTCTGATTTCCAGCAAAAAACTTCCATTCAATGATTAAAATTGATTACCCTAAAAATTGCTGTAAAAAAAGGAGAGGGAAAATTGGGTCTGCTTATCTGATGCTTTGATTTAAGGCCCGTAGTGACTTACGATTCTAATTCCAGGCTCAATTATGGTTGTATGTCAAGGATTAACTACAGTCAGTCCTTGATAACAAACCACAATTGAGCCCAACATCTACATTGTGGAAGTGAGAATTGGTGAAGTGACTTTTGCCCCATTTTACAAATCTTTCTCGCTATGGTTGTTCAGTGACTCACTGCAGTTGATAAGTTAGGAAGCTGGTTTGTGAAGTGAATCCAGTTTCCCCATTGACTTGGCTTGTCAGAAGGTCGCAAAAGAGGAACACATGACTTTGGGACGTAGAAATTGTCATAAGTGTGAACTAGTTGCCAAGCATCTGAATTTTGATCCCATGATCATGGGGAGGCTATAAGAGTTGTGCGTGGGGAAAACCAGTTCCCAATCACTTTTTTCCAGTGCCGTTGTAACTTTCAACTATCACTCAGTGAACTGTTGTAAGTCGAGGAAGGCTGCTAGTTCTCCAGTCCTATTGCACCAACTTTAGAGATTGTAGCCGAACTGTTTTATCGGTCTCATTAAGATATGATCCACCGTTGATCTTCCTTCTCTAAAGCCGGCTTGTTCATCTTTGATTATCCCCCCTGAAATTAGCCAATCCTGAAGTTTATAGTTTAGGTGTTTGGCATACAGTTTACTAATAATGCTCAGAAGACTGATGCACCATTTTTATAAATTGGTATGATAATTGCTACTCCCCAATCTCTAGGCAATCTCTACTACTCCCCAATCTCTATGGCCTGTTTTATCTATGAATGTAAACAGTGATGCTAAAAGTGGAGCNAGATAGATAGATAGATAGATAGATAGATAGATAGATAGATAGATAGATAGATAGATAGATAGATAGATAGATATAAGATAAATAGATAAATGATAGATAGATAGATAGATAGATAGATAGATAGATAGATAGATAGATAGATAGATAGATAGATAACAAACAGAAAGAGGGAGACAGAGAGAGAAAATTAACTGAATCAGGATTCCACCCACGACTGGGAGAGAGAGAAAGAGAGAGACAGAGAGAAAAACAGAAGAGAGAGAAAATTAACTGAATCAGGATTCCACCAACGACTGGGAAGGGGGGAGGGAGAGAGAGAGAGAGAATTAACTGAATCAGGATTCTATCCACGACTGGGAGAGAAAGAGGGAGACAGAGAGAAAAAGAGAGAGAGAGAGAGAGAGAGAGAGAATTAACTGAATCAGGATTCCACCGAAGATTGGGAATGGGGGAGGGAGAGAGAGAGAGAGAGAATTAACTGAATCAGGATTCTATCCATGACTTGGTGGGGGGGAGAGAGAAAGAGAATTAACTGATTCAGGATTCCACCCACGACTGGGAAGGGGGGAGGGAGGGGGGGAGAGAGAGAGAGAGTCAAGTAACAGGCTGAGCTTCATAGCTGAAGGTTGAACTCTCTCTGTTGCTGGAGGCTCTGCTCTTCCCCTGCAGCCTCACCTGTATTCTTCAGCTGCTGTTCTCTTTTGTGGTCTCTTTCAGGTGCCGGCAGTGTGCCAGCATGTGCGCCGTGTGCCACCATGTGGTCAAGGGCCTCTTTGTGTGGTGCCAGGGCTGCAGTCACGGTGGTCACCTGCAACATATCATGAAGTGGCTGGAAACGAGTTCCCATTGTCCTACAGGATGCGGCCACCTTTGCGAATACACCTGAATCGAAGAGAAGGCCGAGGTGGCCCACTGGGGGCTGCCTAGAACTGAGAACCTCACTTTGGGTGGGGGTGGGGAAGGGGGAGAGACAGTCACTGGGATTGCTGATCTAGATAGCTGCCGTGAAACCTCTCCACCAGGTTGGGACTTGCAAGGTGGGTCGTGGGTTTTTTTGCTTCCAGGGGGAGGGGGGGGGACCCAGCACAGCCATATGTCCAGGAGATTCTGCTAGGGAAAAAAAACAACACACATTTTCTTCTAATGTCCTGCTGTGGAGGCAGTTTGTTCTCTACATATGATGGTGAACCTGTGGCACGTGTGCCAGAGGTGGCACGCAGAGCCTTCCCTGTGGACATGTGCACCGTCGCCAGCTGCTCTTCTGGTTTCAACAGCCTGAAAACATCCCCAAAAAATGACCAAAACAGGCATATGTGAGCTGGCCAGCTGGTCTTCGGGTTTCCAGTGCTCCGGCCCCTGTGAAGATCAGCTGGGCAGCACGCCTGCAAGTACTGGAAACCTGAAGTCTGGCTGATTGGCATGTGCACCGGCCAGCTGGATTTCTGGTGCCCCGACATGCACACATGCATGCATGTTCTGGTTTGGGCACTCAGTGCCGGAAAAGTTCCCCATCATTGTTCTATACAACACCTGCTTCATTACCCAGGGTGGCTCCAGAAAGTTTCAGGCAGCTTTTTTTTTTTAATACCGAATTAAACAAGGTGAAATGTACCATTTTTCTCATCTGTGTTTGCAAAACTTTCTGTGTCAAGGCTTCTAAATAATTGGCCAGCTACCGAACAGGAGTGAGGATCTCTCCTCCAAAAAAAAAAAAGAGACACATCAGAATCTGTAATTTTACTGATCTTGGGCCAAAAGTTAAAAATTGCTAGCTCACAGCTGGAGCAGGTATGGTTAGGCTGAACAAGAGAAGTTTTTCTATTTTATTGAAATGGTTTCAGGATTTCGTGCCGAGTAACTTAAACAAGAACACTGGATCTGGTGAGGTGAACTTTAAGAGATTCTCCGTTCTCAGCAATCTTCCTCAGTCTTTAAAGGGGAAAAAATAGTGGATTATGTACTGTCTTCTTACCAGTCTTAAAAAATAAGTCCATCTGATCTAAAAGAATTTAATCTTGGGAGCAGAGAATAACAGCCTTACTCTTGTTAGACCAGTATTCCACAGCCCCAGCAGTTTTAAGATGGGTGGATTTCAACTCCCTGAAATCCCCAGCCAGCATTGCTAACTCGGGAATTCTGGGAATAACAAAATAACAGCGTTGGAAGGGACCTTGGAGGTCTTCTAGTCCACCCCCCTGCTCAAGCAGGAGACCATTTCTGACAAGTGAATGTCCAGTCTCTTCTTAAAAACATCCAGTGATGGAGCACTCATAACTTCTGGAGGCAAGCTGTTCCACTGGAAGTTTCTCTTTAGTTCCAGGTTGCTTCTCTCTTTGATTAGTTTCCATCCATTGTTTCCTGTCTTGCCTTCAGGTGCATTGGAGAATAGGTTGATGCCCCTCTTCTTTGTGGCAGCCCCTCAAATATTGGAACACTGCTATCCTATCATCCCTGGTCCTTTTCTTTTTACTAGACTAGTTCTAACTAATTCATTCAAGCGTTCTTCATACATTTTAGCTTCCAGGCCAGTAATCATCTTTGCTGCTCTTCTCCGCACTATATTTCCAAAGTCTCAAAATATTTGTTTTTTGTAATGGGGTGATTAAAACTGGATGCAGTTTTCCCAGTGTGTTCTTATGAAAGCTTTGTAAAATGGTATTTTCACGTGAACTCGAGTCTGTCCTTTTGTTAATGCAACCTAGAATTGCATTGGCTTTTTTGGGGTAGCCGCTACACACTGCTGGCTCATATTTAAATGATTGTCCACCAGGACTCCAAGATCCTCCCACAGTTACTGCTATTGAGCCAGGTTTCACCCAATCTCTACCTGTACTTGGGCAAGAAAACCTTTGGTTTTTCTTGCCTTAATTGCGTGACATTAGGAAACCAATAGCCCTTATATATTGCTTCATAATGCTTTTCCAGCCCTCTCTAAACGGTTTGCAGAGTCAGCCTCTTG